AAGAGATAACTGAGCTCATTCAGTCCCATCTGGACTGAAAACCTGGCTGCTGGGGTTTCTTCCCAAAAGCCAGGGGTGTCAGTCTTGCTTTTTGGAGGGCTGTAGTGTTCTCTAACTTTCAGGCCACACTCACAGCAACTGAGTCAGTGTAATCACCTAATTAAATGGATTAATTTAATTCTCCCCTCCAGGCTCCAAAATATTCCGTAGCGTGTATTTTCACTCAAACACATTATTTCTGCCCTCCAATGTAAAACTAGCTAAAAGTCTAGAAACAGTCTTGATCTAGTGCTATAGTTTTTGTTCCGTGTCTCAGAGGAAAAGCAGCTGATACTGAGAGCCGGCAGCCCACATCAGTGGAACACTAAAATTGCCCCTGTACCTCAAGAGTATTGGCCACAGTAGACATGCCCATAATATCCCATCTCATTAGAATCGTTCTGCCATGTGACCTACACAGAATTAATTTACAGATTTTCTTTCAACTGGTACCAGGCGAAGTGTGAAACAGCATTTTTAAGAACACAAATAAGTTGGTGGATTATTTTGCTCTCATCTCGATAAAATGCCACATAAAACCTGGTCACAAAAAGCCAGTGTTAAGTGGCCACCATCACATCTGTAAGTCTGGGAGAGTGTTTCTTATTTCTGCATGAAAAAGAACTTGGTCAATGAGTACTATACACATTATACAGTATGTGTTTTCATATACAGTATTTCACCAGTTCCAGTTTGGTTTACTTGGAAGAGGTTTATCAAAGTGGGGGTTCCAGTCCTGGTTCTGTTAAGGTCACTGCATCAACAGGTTCACTAAGTGCATTTAATTAAAACACCAGCTGATGTACAGTTAAGCAACTTCAGTGATTAAGACCCAAGATTGCTCAAAAATCTGCAGACACACCAGTCTTCCAAGGACTGTAAGAAAACAGGATTCACTATTGACTAGCCATTTTTAGTTACAACACTTATTTTAATTAAGATCTGACAAGCTTGACTTCTGGCTTTTAATGCACTTTGTATAAAATCTGACCTGGCAGTCAAAAGCAACACAGCATAAGGGGAGAGTAAAGAATTGATTAAATCAGGGTGTGCTTTGATTGCTCATTAACAACCAGTCTAGTTTTTAAACCCATGGGGAAAAACGGAGCTTTGGATTTCAGGTCTATTAATAATGTGTGTCTGTAAATCGAGTTATTTGGGTCTATTAATAATAAGCATTCTCAGATTCCTGTTCACTGTCAAATTCCTGCTTATTCGCTTTCTGTTGTTTCTGAAAAGTGGCTGAATTTTCACACGTTAATGGCTGAAACCCTGTCTCTCCACTACAAGGGTGTCCAGTTCTGTTCCTGAAGGGTTGGTGGATCGGCAGGTTTTCATTCCATCATCCCACTCAGCTTCCATAGAGCTAGACCAGCTCGTTACTGGTTTAACTGGAACGCTTCAAGGGCTTCGCCCAGCTCTTCGGGCGCTTTAAAGACCTCTTGAAAACCTTGAACAGCATAGGTTACCCTCGCTCTTCAAGGCCCACGAAACCCGCACAGAATAATGTGGTGAAGTACATGAAAAACAGCTTGACCCTCCTTTCCCATTTTTTTAATACAATGTATTAGAAAGCCAAAAACAAACCAACGCACAAAAGATATACAGAACACAGTATTGAAGATGCTGTGTTGTTTGGGATAGGGGACCTTTGTTTGCCCCAGAGAGGTGTGCACAAGTACAGCATCCAGAAACTGAAACTGACTGCCTCCAGCACAGCAGACTCTGTGAAACCCGGAGAGCAGGCCCTGACTGCAGACGCTCCAGTACAGAGACCATCTGAGCCCAAGTGCTAGGGCACAGGGTCCCTCACTGACACAGTGGGGCAGCTGGCTGAGCTACACCTCAGGTGCAGGCGTGGGCGCCTGGGGGTGTGTGGCACTGGGCACCGGGGGTACCTCCACCTACAGAGAGAGTGACAGACCAAGAGAGTTAGAAAAGGCTTCACGCGAGCAGGAATACGGTCAAATGTTGTGACACTATCAATAAAAAAGGACAACCGAGACTCTTCTTTCTTAGAAAACTCAGGTACTTTAAGGTAGATAAATCTCTTCTACAAATCATTCATTGAAAGTGTCTTAACATACTGCTTCACTTGTTGGTTTGGCAACATAAGTACCGGTAACTGTAATAGGATGGGTAAAAAAAGTGGCAAAATAATCGGGAATAATCAAATCAACTTAAGCATCCTTTACGAACAGAGGGTGACTAAGAAATCCAAAGTCATCAGGGAGTGTGTGTCTCACCCCCTCCATTGTGAACTCGCACTTCTCCCAACTGGGAGACGCTTCTGTGTCCCCAGGTGTAAAACCAACAGACTCGGGAGATCTTTCATCTCCACTGCAATCACACTCTTAAACGATGCAAATTAACTACCTTGTCTCTTGTTTCTTTTCTCCTGTAACACCTCTGTATTCTCTTTGCTTTTGATAGTATTGTCATTGTGTTGTGTTTGACTGTGCCGTAAAACAAATTTCCCCTGGGGACAATAAAGCTTGAATTGAATTGAAACGTGGATCACGACATGAGTGAGGGAGGGAAGGAGGGAGATATGGAGAAGGAACATCAGAAAGATTATACACGCGAGAAGACCCACTTCTCAGAACAAAAGAATCTGCACAACTCCACCTCAACACGACAAATGGGTTTGCCCGAGATTTGTACAACAGCTCAGCACAAGTTTTGTACCGTCTTAGCTACTGCTAAAATGTTTGTTAACCCATATATTCTGGTTTAATCTCTAAATGTGTGCTAAGAAACAATTTATTTTGGAGTACTGTAAGTGCACTGAAGTTTTATTGAACAGACATGACAGGTTAAGTCAATAAACGGATTAACATGTGACATGAAAGTCATAGGCTAGTAGCGTGTTTATCCACTGGTAGAAGCAGTGCCAGCTGTATATCCAACGATGGCTTATGCCAGGTTACAGATGTTGCCTTGTAGGATTCTGTCTCATTCCTCTTGTGGGCCTGAAGCCTAGCCAAGCACATGCCTTTTTACTGACCCCTGTATATTACCGTCATCGCAACCCATGGGACTCAGGTCTGCGGAAAAGGACATGTCACATTCACCCCTTTCAGCAAGTGAGGTCCCAGGAAGGGATCAATGTAGAACGTTGCAGTAAGGCTGACATCACAGATCTGAAGGGACCAGATACACTTGTGCCCAGATCATCACACTTGGACCTCCACATTGACTGGCCTGTTGTCCACAACAATATCACATCTGCCCCACATTCACCTTTTACGGAGGTCTCCACAAAACTCTGATTTGTCAAAAAAAAGAACTTGGTTCTACTGCAGGAAAATCCACCTGAGGGGTTTTTCAAATATATGCCACAAACCTGTTGTTCTCTTTATAAGCAGGGCATGCTGACTTCTCTTTGTCTTCCTTGATTTTCACCAGCCTTGAGAATCGGCAGGCTAAATCACCTCGTTATTTGTGCCTTCCATCCAACTCTCTGACTAATGAGGTGATTTAGTGCTTATGCAACAGTCAGTCACTTGCGTAGGTCGCAGTCAATCATGAATGACCAAAAGCGTTTTATCAATATCCAAAATCTGTATACTCTATTTCTCTAAATTTAGATCATGCATACTGTATATAAAATGATATATTAGTGTGGCAGAAAAGCTACAGCCAGGGCTAGATTTAAATATTCTAATTGTTCTTGAGCAGCTTTCTTGTGTTGGAAGTAAATCCAGGAAGTGGTTGGGTTCTCCGAGCCAGCTTTTTAGGATATGTTTCCAAGATACTGGTCTCTGATAACTACGAGGCCCAGGCATTCCAATATCCAAGCAATGACAGCATAAACTGTGATATTAATCCAGTGATATAATGCCAAATCCGATTCCATTTCATTCTGTACTCACACCCCGACTGGACACCAGTCATAAACCCTGAGATATGGCTGGAATGGCCTGAAAATTGGAAATGAGAGACAAGAGTCTGCCACTACACCTGTAGTGTAATAGTACTGCACTTGATCTTAGCCAAAAGGCCGAGAAGTAGTACTGCACTATTTTTGTTTTTTGAATAAACAGCTTTCAATCTGAGGCTCAATGTATGATGAACTTTATCAGAAGACTTGCATAGAAACCTTTTCCAAATAAACCCCATCATAGTACTAAAATTACTTATATTATACAGATATCCACACTTCTGCTTGTTCAAAGGAACCTCAATAATTTCTGAGGAACTTCAGTAGCACACTATCCCCATAGAGAGAGTCATTTGCCTTTCCATTGACAAACAAAACATTCTTATTTCTGTAGGCTAATTCCGATATAATAAGCTGTGCTGCCTAATGTTGTTTTCCAGTGGCATCTAGCTCTAGCATTCAAGATCTTCTGGTACTGTGATAAAGGCATCTAAGCAGGTTTGCTCATGATTCAATTCAAAGCTCTCTCTCTCTCTCTCTCTCTCTCTCTCTCTCTCTCTCTCTCGGCCCAGTCAGGTTTACTTACACGTGTACCTCTTCAATTTTTACTGACTTTCCTCTAGGATGACCTGTATAAGCAGTGACTTAGAGCTGCAGCATAGAGACTGATGCCCCTTTAACTCTATGTAATTAATGTAGCAGAAAGAGGCAGTTATTTCTTACCAGTTGTTCTGCTCTCTTCTTCAGCCTCCTCCAGATAGTGTGGTGAGCCTGAGAGAAACAGAGAGCACTCATAACACTGCAATGTCAAGACACATTGCACCAGGCCATCAGAGTGGCGGCCCGTCGCAGGGTCTCGGCGCGGCAGGGTGCTTGTGGCGGCCTGTTGTGGCACGTCAGACCGCTAGTGGAGGCCTGTTTTAGCATCTGAGTGACGACAGTCAGGTCGTCAGTAATACCTGTAGCTGCAGTGGCAGAGACAGACCCTGTGCTCGGCGGTGTAGGCCCCAAGGCCCTGGTCCCAGATTGTGCAGCGCTGTCACCTCATACTGAGAGCACAGCCCCGTCCTGGCCACCAGGGGGCCTCCGCTCACATCCACGTGGTCCCCACACCTGGGAGAGACAGGGAGAGGGGGGGGTGACCCTCCTGACAGACTGCAGGACTTTCATGAAAGATACGGCCCTGTTCCTGTTTTGCGGGACCCAGCTCGAGGAGAAGAGAACACAAGCTCTGTTTTTAAGAGCATAAGAAAAGAAAGGCTACAATCAAGAAGAGGTCATTCAGCTCATCTTGCCTCTGTTGACAGACATCTGAAACCAGCAGCTAAACTAAAACCCCCTTCTTTGTTTTTTTTTTCAAATGATCTTCCACTTGTGTCCTCTGGTTTGTGCTACAAACTATGAAAAGGCTGCTCCCTAACCAAGAAATATTACGGACTTAGCGTGGAGACAAGGTCATAGGCAACTTTTCTATCTAGTTGTTCCTGACTATGAAGAGTATTTACAGTTTCCTACCCGCCTTGTTTAATCTTATCCATGCATATTTAGTTGTTAATAGATTTACACTATTAGATTGTGTTTGTCTTTTTATCTGCCTGTAAAGCACATTTCCCCATCGGGGACAATACATGGAAGGAAAGGAAAGGGTAAAAGGAAAATCTAAAGGCAAGGCAGAAATTGGAATTGTAAGAGTAATAAAAGATGGACAAGGGCTTGCGGTCTGAACTGCTGTTGCACACACCGGGTGAGAGCGTGGGACAGAGAGGGACCGTCTTCTCACCTGTACAGTGTGACTGTGCCTGTGGGGCTCTCAGCTGTCCTCTGCTCCACCTCCTCCCGTTTAGTCCTGAAACACACAGTCCTGAATTCAGCACAGGGCTGGCACCCACGATGCACATCTCACAGAGCAGCACCAAGGTCTTAAAGCAGACAGGAAACAGGAAGCAGAAAGGAAGAGGGGCGGGCGGAGAGGACAGCTTTACCGGCTGTGAGTGAAGATCTCCATGGCGACGGCGGGCTGCACTTCCAGCGGCTCCCAGGGCAGGTCCTGCTGGATGAGGCGCTGGGCGTCGCAGCCGAAAGAGCGCAGGTCCTCCTGACACAGGGATCGACAAGCGCTTGTGAGCGACACCGGAACAAGCTACCCGGCACCCCCCTCCACCCCCCCCGAACGCGGCTGCAGAACAAGACGGGGAGACCGACCGACCTCTGAGGGCGTCCAGGAGTCCAGCCGAGAGTCCAGGACCACGTCGCAGCAGAACGCCCCCGAGATCACTGGCCACACAGAAGAGGAAAAGAAGTCTTAAATCGGACTGCATCACTGACCTCAGCCCAGAGAGACAGACGTCCAGCGTTGTGTACCTGGCAGCTCCGGGCTCCTCAGCAGCTCCACGAGGAATTCCTCCTTGAAGGCAGCCTGCAGGACCTGTCCCAGCATCATGGCACACGACCGCCAGTACGCCTGCATGCACACACACACACACAGACGCACAAGGTCAAGGCACAGCTGGGGGTCGACAAGAGTCGAGGAACACGGACGGGCCCGGAAGGCCCACGGGGTACCTGGTTGACTTCCTGGGGGTCCTGGTCCTTGAAGGAGAGCAGGGAGAGGGTGCAGGACTGGGTGAGGGGCCGGTGCAGGGGCCAAGGCTGCCCGTCGACCAGGGCCAAGGCAGCAGTGCTGACGTGCCACTCGGTCAGATCTGAGAGGGAGGGAGGGAGGGGCACTTCAGTGTCACTCAGGGATC